TCACGGAAGAATTAAGTTAAATACGCAACTTTCAGTCAATCCTACGGATAACAAATGATTTATGAATTAAGAATTGCAAAATGAAATTCCGTTGCTTTGAAACATTTACTTCCAAAAATATTAAAAAATTCTTGAAGCTGCCAATACGCTTTTCCTATTTCTCCATGTTAGTAAAAGTGTAAAAAGACACAACAATACGATAACAATAACGAAATTCTCGGGTAGAAAAATGATTTAAAGAAGCACACGATAATGTTAGTGATCAAACGCCTAGAAAACACTTTTTAAAATAAAGAATGACAAGAAAATCGTATCTGCTGAAATTCAAATGCAGACATAAATATAACGTAATGTAATAATAATTATTTGATAATAACAGCGCTGTAACTTAAGCGAGTTTCCCCAGAAAATTTTCGGTGCATTAAAGTTTCGCATTTTAACATGGTGCGGCGCACAACCAAGCCGGTAAAACGCATTATTGTTTCTGCATAGTTGTTTCTAAAAGCAATGTAAAACAAAGGAACGAGATTACTGCGGGGATAATTTAACGGGGAATCAAATGAAAGTTCGGGTGAATTATTTTTATCACGGTGTATAACAAGATTTCTGCGCTTCTAAAGTCGCGAAAGCCAAAGATCCAAGATTCCATTATCCGTTTTCATTCTGATCGCGAGATGAATATTATAACGCAAACGGAAGTCAATTTTAACCGCAACTCTAACAAAAGTAGACAGTTTTATATCGACGTGAACGTGAAAGGTTCGAAAATACGATTTTCTGCATAATTCATTCTTCGTGGGATAATTGATCGAACGTTGATCATTTTTCAAAGAATCACAGCATTTCTAGAACAAAATGTTTCGAAATGGAAATCGGCGACCGTTTATTTCAGTAAAATCAAATATTTATTTGACACCGGATTTCCATCGGTGTCGCGATCAATATGAACGAATCCTAGATTTTTGTGTTTCAACGGTATCAATCGAGCTATTTCAACGGTCCAATTAATTCTACTTAGAGAGGACTATTTCTACAAATTGACAAATTAGTGCCAATATCTTTTTGTCCGTTCTATTCTGCAGACTGAGACTAAATATGAACTTTCAGTTTCGGAAATAGAAGAGGACTATGAAATTTCGTGGTACTCAAATTGTATGCCGTTGTTGGATAAATTACTAGGAGTGAAAATGTAGAATTACATGAAAAGTAAAGCTCGTGTTAATAAAATAAGAAAAATGTGTTAAATTAATTAATTTATTAGGTAAAATTGGGGACTTTGAAAATACGTCTCGCTATAGTAGCAAATTTTTCAATAAACGGACAACTAAATTACTAACTTACTTAATCCTGGGTTAGTCATAATTTTCATTCATTTTAGCAAAGTTCAATTGTACAATTTTTCTTTCTTGTATTTTACTGCTTTTTAGAATATATTTCTAAGTGTTAAATAAAGTCACAGTGAAATAAATGTGTTTATGCTCGTGGTAATGATTCGCAAATCTATTGTCGAGCCTTGTTGAGTTTGCACGTGGTGTGCCGACTTTATTTTTATTTGACTTCTCGAAGGACCACCCCGATATCTTCAGGGAACAAATTCTATTTATTTTCCACGTCGCACTGGACTTCAAGAAATAGACTATATATTCTACCAGGATTCTAAGTGGTAACTTGCTGCTGTTCTTGGCTGAACTGACTCTCGTTTTTTCGTCTTGAGCGTCTTCGAGACGCGTCCAACTAAAGACACGCTGATTGGCAGATAATTCTGAAAATTATAGTTGGGGCCACGATATAGCGAGGTCGTAAATGAAACTCTCAAGAATCGGCAAAAAATAGCCGTTCGGTACGGTCGTGCCATAAATCGTGCCAACGAAGCTCTAACAAAATGGTTTACACTAATTTTTAAATGGTTCGAAAGGAAAAATTGAATTCTCTCTAAGTGTTACTACAGAATTTTGCTATGAAACCACCGTTTCATATTACTTTCACTAGTGGTTCTCTGTGTTTGAAACAAAATCACTTCGTTTCTATTAGAACAATCCATTTCTCGAAATTGTATAATTCACAATAATTTACGAGTGTTAGTACGTGCAATAAATGTATAAATTTTTAAAAAAGATTTTCTCCTTGCATCGAGCCTTAAAGGTATACAGTAATGTCTCTACAAGTGTCAGTCCGCAAGGAAGCTAAACCTGACACTTGTAGAGTCACGGACTACGTTTTCGAGCCTCGCGCTCGCCTTTGTAGTTTGCCGAACGTAGACAAGGACAGCGAATAAAAGATAAGGATGAAACGTGAGTCGAGGAGACCAAGCGATTTAAATACCAACTTTTTTAATTTTACGTTTTTTTTTATCCCGAAATTTTTCTTAACATATTGATCAGATTTTTCTGATGAAAATAACATCAACGCGTTCACTCTCTGGCGTGACAGTGAATAAGTAAATGTTGTTCAAATTATATCGTGTTTGATATCATTTTCATCAGAAAAATCTCTTGGCAATCTCGTTGCAATTCCGCTCTTGGTGACAAAAGACGGTCACCAACCACATTATTTTTGTGATACCTGTATAGAAAAGCCAAGATTACATACTGGCGATTGCTTAGAGAGGTATCACACCTTGGACGATTACAAAATGTAATAATTTTATAATTTTTTGTTTCTTTTTATATATTATAACATTTGTATCCATAATCAATTAAGAAAAACAATAACATACAACAATGACTTTTCTTTTAATGCGCATATCATTTACTTATATGTGAATATGATCTGCAACTGAAATTGCTTCGAGTTGCTGGTAATATGAATGAAAAAAAAACTTCGAGTGCAAAGGGTTACATTTGTCTTATAAATTTAGCAAAAGAAAGAAACAACGATTAAAGTCAGAATGAACAGTGAAATAACGGAAAATACTGAACGATGAATTACCATATCGGGCAAAAACGTGGATCCAACTATTACGTCACTGTAGCTCGAACGAAATGCCGCACCATCCCGTATTTCCCTCGAAGGAATGCACCGCGACATGCAGCGACAAACAAGCTCCAGAGCGGTGCACCGTTCAAACACGCGAGGGGCATTCGATCCTGTCCCAATAATAAAAATCAGCTGTCGCATTATTCGAGGAGAACCAGCTATGGTCCGTGGAGAAGGGATTCCCATCGATATCGTCCTGTTTATCCTGTTCCATCCTGCCCCGTATACACGACGGTGTGCACCTCTCTGCAGGATCTGCACTCACGCGTGTCCCCTGCCCCTTTTGTCGTCGCTGCTCGATTCAATTTTCGCTAACGCGATCGAAAATCTGGCTAGACTCCGACCTACAGGCGCCACGTGAGAAATCTCCGCTCCTTTGTCGCGTGTACGCACACACGCGCACACACTGTGCGCTAGACGATCAAATTGTTTCGAGAAAGCCGATGGACAAATATAGGAGACAATCGGCGAAGATTTCTCTCGGGGAGAAATTATTTGATATTTTAAAATGGTACGCCCGGTATAGTTTCAAGTTTAATTATAATACAATGCGATGAAAAGCGTTGTTGTGATTTGGGAAAGTTTTGGTATTTTAAAATGGAACGCCCGGTATAGTTCCGGTTGAATTATAATGCACTGCAATGAGAAGTGTTATACCGATTTGGGAAAATTTTGGTATTTTAAAGTGGAACGCCCGGTATAGTTTCGGTTGAATTATAATGCACTGCAATGAGAAGTGTTATACCGATTTGGGAAAAGTTTGGTATTTTAAAGTGGAACGCCCAGTATAGTTCCGGTTGAATTACATTATAATGAAAAATATTACAGCGGAACGTCGTACAACGCGTTGAAAAAATCGCTACTGCCTCCGTATAACGCGATAAAAAAAAAAGAACAACGTAGAAATTCTGCATTTGTAATTTTCGGTTGATTAAATTTGACCCAAAAAGCGACGTCGGTGGAACTTAATTTGTATTATATTTCCTACTGATTTATGAAAATTTTAATAGTTTTAAACCGAGTGTCCTGTTATAGGTTTACTTGAATTATATTGGAATAGGAAGAGTTGTATTGACTTACGAAAATTTGGGAATTTTAAAATAGAACACCCTGTACAGCTTTAGTCGAATTACACCGCAACGAGAACATCTGGGTATTTTTAGATGGAACACTCTGCGCACTTTTTTCCAACACTTTGAAAGAATTTTAAGAAGTGTTGGATATGAATTTAATTGCTTTAAGGAAAAAGAAGTTTTTCTATATAAAACTATTCGATATTTTCTGAGCGACGTATTATTCACTTAATACAGAATATTTAAAGTTAAACGGTTCAACTAAGACGGTACGCGGTAAGTATAAAAACAAGGGTAAATATCGCCGAGTAATTTCTTGGAAAAGTTCCGTGGTCACGCGAGGGGTATTCCCGGTCGCGTTCTGTTTACAAAATTTGTGTCGCTCGTACCACGGAATGCCTCTGAACCAGATCAAACTGAATCTTCGTAAAATTCTTACATAGACGTAGTAGAAAATTCTTCATTGCGAAACGTGCAATTCTCGTTAATTATCGTACTAATCAATTTTTAATATTTTACTCTAAGGAATGAAATATGAGCAGAAAATTTGCAAAGTAACGAAACTGAATTTAACCTCTCCAAAATGTGAAATTATTCTAATGAATTCTTAACGAAGCATCTTCAGATGGATATTTTGAATAATTACAATCAACAAGTATCGATATAGAAATATAGAGTGGCTCGTTTCGAAATGAAATGAAAATAAATCAAATGTATTAAATTTTTGAATAGCCACCGTGTATAACTGAATTACGCAGCATTAATTCCTCGTGATAAAAAAACCACATTTACAAATGCAACCAACCAATTGCGTCACGCAGTTTATACACCGGCGCCATGTTGAAATATAGCACGCGATCCACGATTCCAACGAATCAATGGAAACACCTACCTTATCGTGGTATTACGTTGAATAAACTACGAACAACGATAACGAAAAGCGAAACTTACTCGTACGGACAACACGTCTAACAGGAATCTGTATCGTTTCTTGTCGTAAGTTTCGCTTTTCAAGCTGTTGCGCATGCTCATGGATCTTTCGAGCGTCCACAGGTTGGAAACACCAATAACAGATGAAAACACGAGAAAACACGGGTCACATAGAAGAATCCACGAACCAAGTATTTTTTGCCATTACGTTGAATCACAAGGCAGTTCACGACGTATCCGAATTCCGGAGATAAATAAAACTGAACGCGCGCGAACAGAGTGACGGCGTGTAACCGGTCGATGTCATGCCGAGACTCGCACGTTTCCGTCGCGGCTCGGTAGTGTCCGGCTATTGCCGCGCTCTAGATCGGTGGTGGGAGAGTTCAGCGTTGCCTTTAGACGACTTTTCGCGCGAAAAATGAATTCGTGTAATTTTCGAACCTTTTATATCTGCTGTAACCGTACGAGTACGTCAGTTATATTTAAAATAAATTGTATCTCCTTTATGATTAAAGGATCTGTATTCTGTAGCTCTGTGTAGATACTAAGATTAAAAGTTCGCTACTTTGCAATGTTGCCAAATGGATAGGAAAAAAAGAAGTAATTAAATGTATTCACGATTTATTTATTTCTTCCGTAATATAGTTTTTACGGCTGTTATATAGTTTGCAATCTATTTAATTATTTATAATTTATGATTTTTTTGAATAATTTATAAGTAAATAATATAGTTTTTCTAAAACTGAATTTAAAGTTAAGTTCCCTTGATAATTCAAAATTTATCTTCACTATTTTACGATGTTACCTACAACAAACTATTATTATTAATTAGAAAATTGTAAAAATAGCAGATAAAGAGAAAGATTTTTTATTCGCATGAAATGCAAAAATATTTGCATTGCACCTGAAAACAAAAACAGTGTCAAGAAAATTAATTAACGACCACAGACAGCGATAAATTAAGATACCAGATAACGATGCGGATATCTGGTGCAAAATAAGTTTTTAATTATCCCACAGTAAAAATGTTAAGCGCGAGGTTCAAGTGCAGGAAAAGTAGCAAGACGCAGTTGTATGGTGATAACACAAACACAAACATTTATTGCAAAGAAGTTCCATTATACGAAATATAAAACGTGCAACGCACGACTCTCTCCAAGAACAATTGAATAGTCACCCGAGGCATTCCACGAGACACCGCAGACCATCTAGGTGCTCGACCGTCGGTAACCTAGAGAATTTCCTCTAGTCCAACAAAAAAGAAGAAAAAAAAAAATAATAATTAAAAATTTAGATTCATTTTCTGAAAAACTATGCACGTTGGTTCAACGTGTCTCTGTTTTCTCGTAAAACAAAAAGTAGCAATATCGAATGTGTACAAAATTAATCAACAGTTTCGTTTAAAAATGTGAGCGAAACTCGCATTCGGACAGAGCGAGCACGTGTCAAGACGCAACAGGCGGCGCGATGCCCGCATCCCCATTAGAATTCCAAGTAGATTCCCGTCTCTTATTCTCTTTCCACCCCCGCCAGCGTAACTTCCGCCCTTCGGGCACGTTTCCATCCCGCAACCGAAAACCCAGATTCCTTTCTTTGGAGACGGACCAGCACCGTAGATAAGCGAGGATCGTGCCGCCGCCTTTTTGCGACAAATGCACTCCAGCGCGTCCGTGAAGTGCACAGAGAGCTGTTTTCAGGAGATCTCAAGTATATTCGTTCTTCTTTTGTGAAGACGAACATTTAGAATTTCTTGCTCTCACTGCCTCCAATTACTTTCCTAAATATTGAAAAAGCTTAGAGAAGGAAGAAACAAAGCTTCTTCTTCTCTTTTCTTTCGTATGATAAAATTTCGATCGATTCTTCGAATGTGGAAAATATGACAATACTCTCGCTTCTTTGACACTGGAACTAGTAGCCGGATGAAAATGAACCATTAGCGACTTTCCACAAGTGAATTTTCATATAAGTGAAAGGTGATTGGAAAATTGGATTCGTGTCGATGCAAATAGACGCATACATGTAGAAAAATAAATTCGGAAACGATCACTCTTTTTCGAAAGTTGCTAATTTTGCCCAATTTCATTTTAATGTCAATTTGCAATGAGAATCACGTATGTTACCGGTAAATGGTAAAATCCATTACGATTGATTTCGATATGATTGTTCATTTTTAACGTACCACTTTACTCTGCTTATTTTTAACTTTTCTGAAAATTCTAACACACACAAGTCAATGGTTTTCACTCGTCGAAAGAAACACCGAGGTTCGTCAATTGTTCAGAAACAGATCACAAGTATTGTTGACAGAGCGGAGAATGAACAAGAGAGAGAGAGAGAGAGAGAGGAAAAAACAAGCGGAGGAAACTTGAACAAGTCGAACGTGAAAGAGTCGAACGCAAAAGAGCGCTTTGGTCTGATTTCCCGTCGAATTGAATTAATTGCGCCCCGAGGAGAGGAAGCAACGATCCGTGGAGAGGAAATTCGCGTGTAGAGACAGGCGAAGAAAAATCGAGAGCGCGGCTCGTCTTTCGTTTTTCAATTATCCGTGGTAAAGGATATCGACGATTCTATAAATGAACACCGATCGCCGGCGAAGACTGATGGACGAAACAGCGAAAGAAGCAAAGGAGCCTGCTGTTCGTTTAATTGGTCGCCACCCTCGTCTGCAGACGAATGAGGGATGTGAGAAGAGAAAAAGAAACGTCGAATCGAACGAATCTACGAAGGAGAAATGATATTGAGAAAATTGGAAGTTCGAATTTTAATCCTTTGTCTTTCTCCGGTAGAATTTTATTAGCTACAATTAACTGTTATTTTTTTGCTGAATTATTTAACAGATATCTTGACACTTTTTTGTTCGTATTTGTATAGAAATTTTGAAATGAACATTTGGAAATGATGAAGCTTCAATGCAACTGAAATGTTGCAAATTAGAATCAAAATATTTGCAGCTAGAAAGTAAAGAGACTTGAGACTCTGTTAAGTGTCCCAGAATTTTTTCAGATTTCTTGAAAGCATAAAATAGTCAAACAATTAGACTTGGACATAAACGACCCCCAGTTCGATGCTCAATAATTCTTCGTGAATAATCGATAAATTTACAAATTGTACCATTGTCATGATCATCACAGAGGCAAAAATTCCTCGATAAAAAAGAAAACTTCGAGTATAAAGCATTTAATGTCTCCTCTTCTTCCTCTGTACAATTTTCGTCAGCCTAATACCCTTATGCGCGTAGCTGCACCGTGAAAAGAGTTTGAGAAAGAAGCTTGCACGTCACAAAAACACAGTCCCCTAAAGCCACTCGATCTCCACCCCCGCCGCGTTTTCCCTCGCTAAAGGCTCGGTATTATAACAAAGCAACGTATTCAACTACACGATATTTTACTTTTATCTCGATTTCCCCTAATAAAATAGCCAACCTTACCCCTCCAGCGTATATACGATACGGCCGATGGTGTGAGTGAGTTCTGTGTAAAAACCAGTTGCCACCATTTTTCATCCCTACGACACGTTCCCCTTTAGCTCGGAGACTCGCGTTTCGATCTCGATGAATACACGCCACCGGTATCGATTTCGATAGGTCACTTGTCCTTTTTATATATATTTCCACTCCACTCACATCCCCTTTCTCCTCTCGTCATAGCCGACGATCCCCGGACTCGACTACATTTTCAATACCACCCCCGTGAATCTCGGCTATATCGACGATTCCCACTCGTTCGCTCCACGAGTTTACACGATCAACCGTGTGTATACAGGGTGTATCAGAAATGGATAGCCGAACTTTGGTGAAAATAGAAAGAGGTGTAATGGTTCGGTGTATGGGAATCTCTACGGAGGAGAAAGAGATAGGTTGCACTTTAGGGTTGATAGCGATGTGTTCTGAAACACTTCGAATATGCATGTACACATGGTGAAAAATTCGAATCACTTCGAACATGATTCGATTCTTGAAACTCGAGTTTTGATGAGTCTTGATGAATCTCGAGACTCGAGTATTGGTGAGTCTTGAGTTTTTGAGTCTCGAGTCTTTGAGTCTCAAGTCTTGATGAGTCTTGAGTCTCGAGTAGTCTCGAGTCTCGATGAGTCTCGAGTCTCGATGAGTCTCGAGTCTCGATGAGTCTCGAGTCTCGATGAGTCTCGAGTCTCGATGAGTCTCGAGTCTCGATGAGTCTCGAGTCTCGATGAGTCTCGAGTCTCGATGAGTCTCGAGTCTCGATGAGTCTCGAGTCTCGATGAGTCTCGAGTCTCGATGAGTCTCGAGTCTCGATGAGTCTCGAGTCTCGATGAGTCTTGAACCTCGAGTGTCGAGTCTTGATGAGTCTCGTGTCTTGATGAGTCTCGTGTCTTGATGAGTCTTGAACCTCGAGTCTCGAGTCTTGATGAGTCTGAAGTCTCGATGAGTCTCGAGTCTTGATGAGTCTCGAGTCTTGATGAGTCTTGAATCTCGAGTCTCGAGTCTTGATGAGTCTGGAGTCTCGATAGGTCTTGAGTCTTTACAGATTCGATACGTCTTGAAAATTTTGGTAGGACTTGAAAACTTGGTGAGTACTCAATATCTTGCGAGTATTTTAAATGCCTTTGCCCAAGCAGTGTCACTGACATGAAATATTAGAAATACTGAAAACTCACGTGAAAAATATTGAATACTCACCAAGACTCTCAAAACCTCTCAAGACTCGAGATTCAAGAGTTCCAAGTACTGAATTAAGTTCGAAGTGATTACGAACGTAACCAAAATCTATTTGGGAATTTTTTTGAAAATTGACTATGAATTGAAAAATGAGGATTAACCCTTTGAGAACTGTGATCGTACGCTTCCGTCACAGTTGATTACTCTCGCAAAAATAAAGTTCTGTATTAGATTTCCTTGTCCTTTCATGGATCGAATTTCACTATTATTTACCGGTTACAATCGAATGAACAATTGGTCCTTTGTGAACGTCGAGGATATTTTTCCTTTTTTATGTGCTGTCGATAAACTGGGGGCAGAAGGTGGTTGGTTTTTTGTAACTTTTTCTTTGCTTGATAGGAAGCGTTGTTACAGCCTTTGTTTCACTGAATGCGGGCGAATTTATCGTTGCT